GACACACACACCGCGGTGCGGTATGTTTTATATTCGCGCGGATTCACCCGATTGTAAATAAAAGCATTTAATTGGATGACGCAAATATGGGTCGCGACACACATTTATATCGCCACAAACCGCAGAATGATATTGCTCGCGTTGCACGGTCCCCAATTGCGGATTTCCGTGCCGTTGCCGAACTGTGCGTTTCAACAGAGTTCGATGCCGAGTGTTTTCCATCCGGAGCGTGCGTTTTTCCAGTTTAACGCGCGCGCTATTTGCCTCCGCGCGGCGGGTGGAGGTCGGTAAAAAACGAATCCATCTTACGAGCGATGAAGCTAACGAGTTGTGTAATTTGGCAATTGCCTAACGGAATGCGCGCGTGTGTGTGTGTGTAAACAAATAATGTCACAAGCGGATGACGCAAAAATATAAAAGAGAAAATTGCAGAAGATATCGCACTTTGCGTTGATATTGAAAACAATAACGTGAATTAATTTTTTCCTTCAAATTGTTTTTACTCCACCTTTCACTCGCTCGTTGACAAAGTCTTTAAGAAAGTTTTTTTTTTTTTTTTTTTTACGTCAAATTTAACGCGCATATTCTCTCGACGCCGTCGTCGAGCGTTTGCTAAGTTCGTTTCGTTGTGTTTATTGTCACACTTTTGCACTGACGCACGAGCAGAGAGTCACATGTCGCATGCAAACCCTTTAATAAAAACGCTTATGAGCTCGTGCACACACCTTCTTGCCGCATACTTTGCTGTACATACGGTGCGAGTGCATGCGTTTTGTTTTTTTTTTTTTCTTTTTTTTGTTTGTTTGTTTCATTGGTTTTTATTCAAAAATTTTCGTATTACGCGCCGAAGTTTTTTTAAATTAACCTCGAATCTTACGTGCGCACGCACATGTCTCCCTTTCTTCTCGGCAGATGTGAAGCGCCGGCAAAGTCTCTACGATGAGGATTCCCTCGACGGCGATCGTCCTTATGAGAATGAAGGTACCAACAACCGTTTTCAAGGGCGTTTTTCTTTTGTTTTTGTGTGTATATAGACGTTTTTCTAATTTCTTCTCACTTTACGTATTTCTTCTCTTTGTCGCGCTCCTTTGTGAGGAGCGACGCTACCGAATCATCAATTGATTCGTAACATTTGTCATTACTTTTCATTCACAATTAACCCGTAAATTACTTTTCGAAATTCACTTTGCGCATTCGGTGTTCATCCGTTCACGGAAAAAAAAAAAAAAAAAAAAAAAAAAAAAAAAAAAAAAAAAAAAAAAAAAAGAAGAAATCAGCCAGCAAGAAAATTACGTTACAACCAGCGAGAAAAATTTGCCGAGTCTGTTGAGATTTTTGTTTTTCGCCGACAAAACGTTTTGCTGAACGAAACAAAAACATTCAGTTCATTTCTTGCTGTAACGGCAAAACTTTTTTTTTTCCGTGATCGATCTAACAACAAACTAACTTTTACTCATTGCTCTGTGAATGTGTACATTTTATTTTTAATATTCTCGCTTGTGTCGCCACTATCTTCTGATGATCATGAGCGTCCGCAGGGAAGGGGGAGAGGGACAAACCCCCGGCATTTTTTTCACAAATTGTTTTTTTTTTTTTTTTTTTTTTTTATCTTGAAACAAGTTTGAAATTTCTGGTTAAACAAAATTAAATCACACATTTATTCATAAAAACTCTGTGTACAGTGAGACCTTTCTGTAAAATTCATAATTTTTGGGACAAAAAAATTGCTCCGCTCTTTCTGAAAAAAAAATCCTGCGGACGCCCATGCTGATTATGAATGAGTATATACTTTCTTTTTTGAAACACTGTGCAACACACATTTTTTGCAAACAATTTTCTAATATCTATGTTACATGTGTCTATACTTGACTGTATATTGCACGTAATAAATCTTATTTCTTATTGAGTTAACGACACGTTCACGGTTCCAACTTCTTGTCACATGATTTACGTTGCAAAATAACGGTCGAATATTAACGTGAATTAAAATTGTTCTCTGTTGAAATCGCGAACAAAATTACGCGATTGATCACAAACGTTTCACGACATCGAAGAAGAAAGAAAAAAAAAAAAATTTGTATTTGACAACCGGTGACTCCGTAGAGTTCATGTGTTTCGCGTTTAAAGCTATATCGGCCGTGAATTTAAAGCATTTTTAGCGATTACAGTTTGAACAGAACGATAATAATGAATACGTTTCGTTTCGCGTTCGCAGGACGGGAGTCGACGGGAAGCTCGAAGGAGTTGGACAGGGCGAAGCTCGTCCGCGAGAGACAGAACGAGGAGCGGCAGCGGAAGTTGGAGGAGCTCAGGCAACAGGCGCTCGCCGCGCAACGCTTCCGCGAGCAGCGCGAGGAGGAGCGACGAAGACGAATCGACGAGCTCAGATCGCGTGACAACGACAGGTCTGAGTTGAGATCGCCACGAGCGGGCGTGCGATAAGCTTTTGCGAAATTAAATCGGATAAATTGCTTTTAAGTAATTAGTTTCTTGTTTGAGTCTGGCGAAAGAACGCGATGTCTCGTTTGTTTGCCGAAACCTCGAGAGAAAACTGCGGCGTTTATTTATTTAATCCGCGAAGAAAGAATCTCGCGAAGAGAGAATAACGGAAAAGGAAACGAATGTAAAACAAACAAAAAAGTGACGGTTTAAATAATGAAAAATGTACCAAAAAAAAATAATAAAAAATAAAAGAATAGGTCGCGCGACAATAAGAAGAGTTATAAATTCACACGTTCGGTCTTTTTTTTACTGTTAGTTTTTACGTATGTCGGCTTCTGAGGGTATTTGACGTGGATAAATAATATTGCTTTCTTCCTCGTTCGCGCAGACGAAATCAAGTTGAGGAGAGAAAACGGCTGATATGCGAGGCGGAGCGGGAAAGACGGGAGGCGATCCTCCGGAAGAATCAAGAAAGAGAGGCGCGCATAGAGGCGAAGAGAAAGAACGAGAGGTCTCACATCGTTTTCGCGTTCGGCAGTTCCACGCCGCGGATGCTCGAACCCGCCGACACAGGCGGCTCCACCTTCTGGGGCACTCGCAGAGCCACCTCCACCACAAACGTCATGATGTTCTCCGCGGCGCAGCCTCTCACCAGGAGGTCCTCCGAAAGAGAGCTAGATGGTAGCAAGAAACGCGCTACTTCCGCCGGCGGCCTCGACCGGAAGCCCGGCGAAGGTAAGTCCGTCGATTATCTTTTGGGGATAGACGTCGTGTGAAACAAAACAAAACAAAACGTGAAAAAATTGTGCGCAAAATTCAACGAACCTCCGCCGAGAATCGATCGTTGATCTCCGAGCACGTAGTGGCTGCACATCGCACACATGGAAAATTTGATTAACCCTTTCAGCGTGTCAGATCTATTTGCTTACTTGAATATTCCGTATTCCATACGTACGAGAACACAGTTCTCAATGGAGAATTCTCCCGGTAGAGAGAGAGAGAGAGAGAGAGAGTCTGAACTTTGAGCGTTTCTGAATAGTCCGAGATATGCTTTTCACAATTGACCCGAGTGAATAATACGCACTCTCTCTCTCTCTCTCTCTTTCTCTCTCTCTCTCTCTCTGCGTATGATTTATCGCAGAAGGAGATTGAAATATGACGAAACGGTTTATTGTGTAATAAAATAATAAACGCGTGGTACGTAAGTGAAATGGCCGAAAAGTGAGCAGCTGAAAGACGTTAAAGAACTTTTCCGTGTATTTTTCTGCGCACACGGGGAGAGCGAATGTAACACACACGCCTGATGAGTTGTGTGTGAATCAAGTGGAATGCAAATCAAAGTAGCAGTTACCGTAACTTCAAGCCGGGCGTCGAATCAACCATATCTGTCATCGTTGATGCGCGCGTTGAGCAGCAGCGCGCGCTGCACTTTGTGAAAACACGACTCGGAAGCGGATTTCGCGTGCGCGTTGTTACTTGAATGCGAGTATCGTACGAGAGAACACCGCGATATCTTAATACCTTAATTCTACTTGAGCGTCGCATGTAACGGGAAGGCTCGACAGAGGTTTTAGTAGTCAAGCAACGGTGAGGTAAAGCACCGCGGCTGATAAATTATTATTTAAACCGCACCGAGAATATGTGATACTTTTTCGACTCTTAATTAAACTTTCACTATTTGTGTTATTTCACACGAATTGGAAAAAAAAAAAAAAAAATTCAACGGAATATTTATATGTATACTATAATATTCATTAAACACATTAGATATGTATTGAATATTATATACCGTTATATTCATATTTTTGTTGCGATATTCGATTCGCTTCCGCGGTGTGTGCGTTAATATCTGTGAAGATTTTTTTTTTTTCACACGACACTAGCGCGGTTCGAATTCGAAAACTTCCCATCTTCAGATATTAATATTATATATTTTAATAAATAATAATATTATATAATAATATATATATTTTATACATTTTATATCGTATATTATAATTATTAATGAATATTATACCATTCATTGAGAGAACACATTAAATTTCGCGTTGATCAAATATCAAGGAATTTACGGAAGTTTCTCCTCACAAATAGCGCGTCAAATGAGACGAAAATCTTGCGATATTCACAAGAAAGTTTTACATGATTTTGTTTTTGTTTTTTTTTTTTTTTTTTCCACGGAACAAATGGCGCTCGAGCGAAACGCGGTTTATTTCTCGCTGCCTCTGCCGGCCCCGTTCCATTTGTTCGTCGACGTATGCATTGATGATTGATGTTCGTCGTTCGGGCCTACAATCGTTCTTCCTGTTCGCGCGAGTTCGCGAGGAACGTTGTCGTTTAATGGCGCGCGCCGCGAGAATATTTCTGCATTTTCACAGACAACGGATAAACGGGACGAGTAAGCGCGCGTCTTCTCGCAGCTTATATAATTTTCACACACGATCGCGCCCGATACCTTTGATAACGTAGTATTTTTCTTAGTGGCAATCGATATAGATAATCGAAGCGGGACGCTCGATCGTTGAAGACGACCGCGCCACGCTTCGTGCATGGTAAACAAAATTTTTACAGCGCGTTTATCGCGTAATCAACGTATTTCGCCGCGATATTTGTTACATATTAACGCGCGCGCGCGGAGAAGATAATGCGCGTTCCCCCTTCAATTACACCACGTACGTGTTAATTGCACACGTGCGACTATAATTACCGAAGTTACGCTTATACCGGAGAGTTGTATGTATATAAACCGAAGTATATATTTCACCCCAGAATTAAATTTAATAATATCGATTCGTGCAATTTCGAATCACGTGTGTGATGTGAAATTAAAAAAAAAAAACAAAAAAATGTCCTGCGTAACAAAGCTTTTTTTTCGAGCACGAGATTATTCACACAAGCAACGTCGCAACAACAACGACACCGCGAAGCATGAAGGAACGATTGCTCAGCACGAGCATCCGCGATCATAGCATAAGTTTTTTCTTTTTTTTTACTTTTTCGTTCTTTTACTTTTTCAGGATTTGTACACTCTATGTAGCCTATTGTATTCTTTGTATACATTCTTTGTGGCAGTGTTCCTTTAAACGATAGGCAAATCCACGTACTTTCAGCTTGAGACTGGCTACTACACGGAAAACGTCTTGGGAAATGTTTTCGTTTGGAAAATGAATTCGCGCGAGATAAAATCTCCAAGTTTTTGCTTTTTCAACGCGACATTTGTTTTTTTTTTTTTTGCGTTTTCGTAATTTTCGTTTAAACTGCGCACACAAGTTTTTGGTTCAGTTTACGTAACATTCACCCTGCGAACGCCACATCATCATTCACTTCCTCCTGTCAGAAAACATGTTTTTTTTTTTTTTTTTGGTTTCTCTTTCTCTCTCTTTCTCTCGTTTTTTGTTTTGTTTTTTTTTTTTTTTTTTTATTCTCGTGAGAAATTTAGCAGTTTTGAGAACCACTGAACGAAGACGAAACTAGCGAAAGTAAATTTGTTTAAAAAACAGACTAGAATAATTTTACAATTGTGACTACTACAACTCGTTTCTGTACATTTCTTCTCTTTGCTACAATCTGTACTTACCGGTGGTGGTTCCGCAAAAACGTGGTGGATTGCGAAAATAAAAAATCAAAAGAAAAAATCGATACGTGCGATTCGCATTGTGCCTAACTCACGCTAATTCACAGTACTTTTTTTACGCTTTTCCCTTCCCCTCCTCTCTCCTTTTTCCACATCTCCTTGTCCGATTCTCTCTCTCTCTCTCTCTCTCTTTCTCTTTCTCTCTTTCTCCATTTAAATTCTCTATTTAAAAGATTTGTTTTTCGCGGAATACCTAATATTTGCGTTGCGTTGAATGGTTTGTTCGCAGATATGAGAATGTCCTCGTCTATGTACGAGGTGTTCAATTGGAATTCTAGCCCCGATCCCCCCTTAACTCCTGCCAAGCATAAGAGAGCCAGCCTCTCTCTGCCCCCCACAACCGACATCTTTGCTGTTGATGATAAGTCCGATAGCGACACTAGGCGTCCTATGATTCAGCGGGCTGCCAGTGGTGAGTCCTGATGCCTCTCAGAAGCCTGCGGCACAATCGGCAGAGATCCGTTTTTGTTCGTTTCAAGAATGATTATTGTCGATCCTTTTTCTATCTCTCGTTTCTGTTAGCACTACTCATCGGGCTCTCCCTCTTTCCCTATCTCTCTCTCTCTCTCTCTCTCACTCTCTCTCTTTCTCTCTCTTTTTGTCTTTCTTTCAATCTTGTTCTATACGCCATGTCTTTTGTTTACTTCACTATACACATTTTCTACTGACGCATGTCTCATTTGTTTGACATCCATAAGAGCATACCGTGCACTTATTCTCATTAATTTCTACATAGTTCTCTTTCTGATTGTGTGACATTGGTCGGTTGCGATTTCTTCGACGGCCTAAGCGCCGAGGGTCATCACGTAGGTGGCCAATATCACACAATCAGGTGTGTGTCGGTAGTTGTTTTACCTCCGTATGCAATCCTCTAACACTAACCTCGTTACTGACACAACACAATAGATCACACTGTTAACGTTCAGTTGCAAGCTGAATCTTAGCTCATTTTTAGTTTTTTTATATAGAAATGCAGTTCAATCATTTTTAGTTTATTTATTTTTTCTTATTATTTACGAACCGAGATAAAATAGCAAAAGTTTAGTGCTAGGAAAGCGCCAATGTTCTTTAACCACGCGAATTAAAAGGCTTCAAGCGCAAGCTAGTATCTCGCGCAAATACGAATATTTGCATAAATTTTTGACTCAATTAATTAATGTAGGCGATTAGACTTACGTAGTTTCTCTCCGTTAAGAATATATTGTCTTGCATTCTCGCCCCAACTGCGAGAGAAAACTGCGAGAGAAAAACAGTCGCGGCTATGAAATCGGACGGTATTGCGACCGATATCATCCCTTGCTCGTTCACTTTTACAGATGCCACACACTGTCGCACTCACTCAGCTAATTTTTTCTCTTTTGCTACGTTAGTTTTGTATATTTAGTTTTTGCTTCATTGTTTTATTCCGAGCGGTCGATATATATGTACACAGTTTGTCCGGAAAGTTCCCGGACTACGTGAATTAAAAATCGAAAATGAAAGATATGG